GACCGTAGACCGTGGAGATTTTACTAACCCTTTTTCTATTTTCCTCCTGACTGGCTTCATAAGGCTGCGTGGTCCAGTAGGACCTGTGTGGGAAATCCAGAGCACAAGGGCAACTGCCCTGGGCTTTCTTCTTGGGAGTCCTTCTCTTAGGTGTTCGGGTCCCACTCTTTTTCGATCCCAATTCCTGCTTCTTAAACCACCAGTACTTTCAACCCACGCTTTCCCGGGGCTCCAAACACCCTGCACACCAAAAAGAAAACCAAAATGGCGCGGGCCTTGTTTTGGCTGGCGCTCCTGGCCATTTTGCTACAGCTGCCGACCGGCAGCACGCAAGGCGCGTCGGAGGATAATGGCTGGGAAACGTACTGGTGGTTTACGCCGTGGGAAAACTACCTGCCTTCCTAGTTTAAACCACCAGTACTTGGCCCAGCTATGGGCCGTGGAAAGAAAAAAGTAGAAACCTTTCTATTCACATGAATTTGGGAGCTTCTTCAGTGGTCCGTACGTTTCCTAAAATAGTGGCTTGTTAAAGGGCGCGACTTACTGGCGGTTTAACAACTTGGGACATCTGTACACAATGTGCTTAGACTTTGTCAATGGATATAAACTCGAAGGCTTTTATATTAACCCTCTTTCTTCATTCCTCGATGCTGATCTGTAAGGCTTCCTGAGGCTTCTTGTGCGGGAAGTCCAGAGCACAAGGGCAACTGCCCCCCTTGGTTTTCCTCGTTGGTGTATTTTTCCTAGGTGTCCTGGTCCCACTCTTTTTCGAGCCCCAATTGCTGCTGCTTTAGTTTCCATGAAATCATGGCAACAATTGTATTGTATCAATTGTTCCCGTCCAAAGTGGAGATGCTCTCTGAATCTGAGGTGGAAGCATCCAGATCCAACACCCCCCCTGACCGATCTCCCCTATCCAACAGTGTATACATCTTCCCTTTCACCCTTATCTTTTGGGCCTTCTTTTGGCCAGATGAAGTACACGTATTGAAGAACCGGGGCCTGAGCCTTTTGTGCAGCCTCTTCCTTAAATGCCCTTTGTGCAAAGACCCTCCAGCTCACCAACTCGGAGAGTCATTGGGGTCGGGCTCACTTGAAAAGCATAAGCTTGTCTTCTGCCAGGATGTTGAGGCATGGGGTCCTCATGAGGTTTGAGGCACAGGGTCCTCATGAGGTTCGAGGCATGGGGTCCTCATGAGGTTCGAGGCATGGGGTCCTCGTGACGTTCTCGAAACGATGTACTAAAAATGTTGCACCGTTCCTAGCCACCTTTTGGATGCCAACTTCATCGCAGACTCCTTGGCGGCTAGGGCCTTCTGCTTGTCGAAGAATCTCCCCTCCAAGGACTTCAAGAGGTCAGCCGCGGAGGACTAGACTATAGACTGATTGTTTGGTAGCCCAGTTTACCGCTGTCTTTTCCAACTGCGAAGTCGACACCTTTATCATTTGTCCCAAATACATGTTCAGCCCATCCATGTACGACTGGGCAGCAGCAATCCAATCTATACATCTTCATCCTTGTCTTTCGCAAAGAACTTGGATGGAGAGGAAAGTTTAGCCCACTTTCCCTCTGATGTACCAGCTTGTGGATGAGAGGTTGTAGCACTAATCAAGGATGTCTCCATCACAGCACTCGACACAGGAGACTGAGGAGAGGATATAGAAGCAGATGATGAAGGAGACGCAGACATGTGATAGACAACAGTAAAATAGCTATAAGTGGAGCGGAAGAAACAATGATCAGCGACTTGACACAAGCAGGCATTTCGTCCACTTCAGCAGTAACGCTGATCTCAGTTCCTATTTTTCTTGACTCCCGACAGGCACCGATGTCTACTAACTAATGCTCAAGGGTTCGGTTTCGGGATCCCACGGCCTTCGTCCCGCAGCAATTCGACCCTCCCTATCCAAAATAGGAGGGGCAGAAGTGCTAGAGAGAGGTTTGCGAAGAGGTGGGCATTTGGCTGGAGCTACCTCTCGCCTCACGCAATCGTTTCTTAGGCGAAACCCGCTGCAACACGTACGGCCTTTTCTGTGTGTATGACCTCATACGAGGTCATTCCCGATCATTGTATACAATGTCCTCAACCAAACAGGCCAAAACAGAGGTCCATCCAAATACAGTAAGAAACGGGCAAAAAGATAGGAGGAAGGTAGAACCTCTTGCCGAGGAGGGTAGTCAAGGAGACAGTCAAACTCACAGTTTAGGGAGTGTGATGGGTCAAACACCGAACAAACATCCCCGAAAATTCCCAATCAACTACACAATGGGTCTGACAGCCTTACCTGCGCTGGTTCTGGGGAAAACCCAGCAAAACTAAATTCTTCCTCAAGGCCCCTTAGTAAGCTTACAGACAATATATATATATATGGTCTAGTTTCATGTCGACGCAGAGCACAAACACGCAAAAAAAATAAAGTGAGGTGTTAGTGTGCGTGCACAGCTGCACAGCTGCATGGCACAAAGCAAGCTAAGTCGTCGCGCCCACAGCCCACCACATCCTACTTGGCGGAAACAGAAACTCAGATTTATAAACCAGGTGTCGCTATTCAACACAACTAAGATCATTCACCCCCATGGACGAGGGAGAGACAGGGTGAGAGAGAGAGAGAGAGAGAGAGAGAGAGAGAGAGAGAGAGAGAGAGAGAGAGAGAGAGAGAGAGAGAGAGAGACTGGAGACTTGACATTGGTATTACGGGAGCCCAGACAGAACATTCCATGGGCTCGAGATCTGAGACCCGTTGTTGGAGGGCGTTTTGTGGCTCCTGGGCCCTGCCTTATTCCAGGAACTGGGCCTGGACAGAACATTCCATGGGCCAGTACCACATTATTCTGCCACTTGCCAGGTAGGGTGCAGAAGTACTGTTACGGACTCCGCCAGGGCTCGATCCCTGGTCTATCTTTTTCCTGTTTCTGCTGCATCCCGTTTTCGGCATGGCACCCTTTTTTCCAAACCCCTCCTTTGGTACCGTCGGATTTTGGACAACTGGCGCCATGCTGCAATTTGGGCGCCACTTTCAAATACGGTAAATACCACATTTTCCAGTTCTGCCCTCGGGGCTTTTGCGGAAATGCCCCTGGTACCGTACGTGTCACCGGTACTTATACCGGCTCCCCGTACAGTGCGGGGACCAGTCTCCTACCAGTTTTCTGCTGCTGTACTTGTACTCAGTGTGACTTGCTGTTTCGGCATTCGGAATCCAAGACTTCGACTTTGTGCCCTTGCCACTGTGTCTGTGTCCGACCCTCAGTCGTCTCAAGTGAGTGAGTGTGTGTGTGTGCTCTCACTCTCTCCCTCTCTCTCTCCTCTCCCTCGGCTCTCCCTCAGCCCCGCGCTCGTCACACTTGTATTGGAGCGGTTCGAACCCGCCCGACCCACCCTGCTTCGTTGTCACCACCAGGCCATCATCAGCATCATTGTCATGATCGTCGTCGTAGTGCCACGTCATTGTCGTGATCATCGCCGTCGTGCCACGTCATCATCGTCATCGTCGCGATCGTCGTCGTCGTGCCACGTCATCATCGTCACCGTCGTGATCGTCGTCGTCGTGCCACGTCTCCATCGCCGTGCCCGTCGTCCTCGTCGCCACGCCATGCCATCCTCGTCATCGTCGTTGCTACCTCCGCGCAGATAAGTAATCGACGACAATTTTCTTTTTTATTTTTATTTGTTCTTTTCTTCTTCTTCTTTTTCTTCATTCTCTTCTTCTTCTTATCTTCTTCTTCTTCTTCTTCATCGTCGTGACTCTGATCCCGCTCCCACCCAACCTCCCCTCCCCGGCTCTCGATCT